CACCCAACATAAATCCAAATCAATTTGACCTGAGTCCAGGCCAGTTCAATGCGGTCTGACCCGAACCAGCACATACTAATCCGAATCGACCTGAATCCGAAACAATTTTGGACGTGATGATTTGCTGCCCACATGCTTTTCCCGATCTAGACCGTCCGTCCAACCAAAATCCACACAACCCGACCCAAATATGGATTGACCCCGATTTACTTACGTTGACCTGGTTTGGATCAGCCGGTCTAGTCCCAAACCCGTGCACAAACCTAATACGGCATGGTCCAAGTCAATCCACCATTAACTGAACCGGTTTGGTTCGGTCCAACCGGACTGATCTAGATCTAAATGGTTCAACCACCCTTGATGTGATTAGCTTGAAAATAATCCAATTAGATAGTTCAAGTTGGTCTGACCGGCTTGAACCTAAGTGGTTCGGTCAAACCCAAAATCCAAACATAGTCAAATGGCTTCGCCTCTTGTATAAAAATTACATGCATGTAATGTGATTTGAACCTTCACCATTTGTATAAATAGTAACTACAATTACTACCAAGCTATAACCAACTTATTTGTTAAGAGAGAGTTAGTTTGCTTTTTAAGTCCATAAATATAAGATTAATGGGTTTGGGTGGATTGGATTGGGTTAAAGCAGGTTTGAGTTGAACCCAACCTATTTAATTTTATATAACTGGGTCATTAATGGATTGGCGTGTTAGATCGATTGAATTGAAAATCAACCCAAACCAAACCCAACCCAACCCACCCAGTTGCCACCCCTATTCACACACACATATTTAAGTTAAATTATTCTCGGAATAATGTTTCTGGTTGGGTGATTCGTCCATATGAATCGATCAATGATCCATTGACCCGGGTGATTGAACCATCAATCCATTCAACAATTTTTTGCTGTTTTCAAATTTTAATTATTTTTTATTTTTTTAATTTATTTTGTTAGAATGGGCCATCCGTTGGAACCAAACGGTCGAACCATCAACCTAAAAACCAATAGTCAGAATGGTTCCAGTTCCAGATAATTTTTTAAAACATTGATCTATTGTCTAAAGATCAAGATGGTATTTAGCCTCATTATCCTTTATCTGTAAAACAGCACCCGTTCAGTGCTACATGGGTGTTTACTTAATAGAGTTTAGTTAAATTGTTTATCAATAGATGTTTCCTCGAACACTTAAAAAGGCGTTTTTTCATTATTTAGCTTATATGGCATCCAATGGCGCCTGTCAACAAACACTAAAAACATTTTCCAACCACTTCTCATTTTTCAATGAAGATGTCATACAAAACATTCATTTAAGCAATAGAACTAAACAACCCTCAAATGCAAAAGCTCTAGAGCCATTCATCTAAACAAAGATACAATCATCTTAATGAATTGAACCATGATACTGGAAAGCCACAATATCATAAAAAGTTCTTCTGATATTGCCCATCTCAAAAGCTTCACAATATTCATGTGTATTTTTTAAGTGCACCATGATACATCTCAAGTTTAAGATTGTTTTTTCCTACACACTCTTTGCATTCCTGATACTTTTATACCAAGTTCAAAATATTGTGATGTATCAATGTATGTCATATGATTCATCAGCTTTTAAATCCACTGCAACGCTAAATATGTAAATTTAGTTTAAATGGCCATATCCAGTTCGTTGCCTCTTTGACTCTGCAATAAGCACAGTTGATACTCTTTTGATTTCATGCTAATACAGTAAAATGGTGGAACGAGATTCAAGTAAAGTGGGCAGTTTCTTAACTGTTATAAGTGAACAGTTTTTAAATGTTTATTAGACAATTTCTTAACTGTTATAAGTGGTCAGTTTTGGGAGTGAGAGTAAAAGACATATATGCCCTTTTTATACCGTTGTATGTTGCTTAGATAAAGGGTAAAAATGTCTAATGAAAAATCTAGAAAATGGGGTTGTTCGCTCTTTTATTAATAGTATAGATTTTAATAATCAATTATTTTTTAAATTTTGCTGATAAGAATGAACCAAGCTGAGTAGATGCATGTTAAAATTTGTAACTAACATGATTATGACAAGTAATTGAAGCGTGGCCTTGTGATATATTTGTTGCCTTGGGGTTGGAATCTCTTTGCTTGTAGCTTTTTGTAGCAAAGTCTAAGTTAATGAGAGGAGAGTGTATGGGAGTCAATAGGAGTTAATATGGAAGTGAAAGTTAATTGACAACTAAATGAGGTAGAGACTAACGAAAATGAGTGGGAGAAAGTTATATATGGGAATTAATGAGAGATTATAGGAGTTGAGAAAGGAGAGAGTGGGAACTTTTGACATTTGAATTTCAACTAGCAAAGTGCTGACAGAAGAGCGTGGAAATGGGATAAATCTGGGAAATTTTCGGTTAAATCCTTCTATAACGCGATCTCAAGATCAGAAGAGCAGAATATTCCAGTACAGATCGTCTGGTGTAAGAATGTTCCCACCAAGGTGGCCTTCTTTGTTTGGCTGGCCTGCCTGAATAGACTCTTAACCAGGGACTCCATGAGGCTCAAGAGGAATCTATGAATCATCTGCTGCTACACTGTAGTTGCGCCAAGAAGGGTGGTTCAAAATCTAGAACCTGTTTGAAATAAAGAGCTGCTGTCCAGAATCAGTTATGGATTTTGTATGAGGTTGGATTGGAGAACAGGAGGTTTATCCTTGAATGAAAAACTGGCTTGGAACATGGAGCCTGTAGCAGTGTTTTGGTACTTATGACAAGAGAGAAATGTAAAAGTTTTCAAGAACAAGAGCAGCTCTCCAGACTCTGTTTCTGAGAATAGTGGACATTGATGTCTTGGCTATGAGAATATCTTTTTGTAAAGCAGGACTGGGAGGGTGTAGATCTGATTGAGCAGTGTTTTGTAAATCCCTGTGTAGTTGTACATGTTTTTTGTTCTCTTTTATTTCTTTTAGTGACATTATACTTTACCTGTTTTCGAAACAAAAAAAAAAGAAAGAAAGATATTGACCATATCAGCCCAATACATTCAAAATATCATTGCAATTATGCAATATAAATTATATTAATCACATGTGTATCATTGACTCCCGTTGGTGCTTTATGAATTGATTCATCTTATTGTCAAGCACTATCATTCAGGTTTTCTGCCATGAAATGGGTGAGAGTAAGGTCCTTCTAAAAAAGATCAAGCCTCAGCATGCGAGGCATAGAAAGGCATAAACCTCAAGAATTAGTGACTATTGAATGATTTAATGCAAACAAAAATTATTTAATGTATTTTAAAGTTAAAAACATATAGGAGGTGCATTTTGATAATTATGGGCCAAATAAAAAGAGTAAATTGAAAAGCCAATAGGGCAAATTGAATTGTTAGGGGTTCACTCTTGATTCTGCTTAAATAAAGTGAGATTTTTCTTATTATATACTACACTATTGGGCACCAGAAATGTAGCAATCCAAGTTTGCTATTTTTCTCTATTTTTTTTCCTCCACAAGAAAATACATTTTACCCTATTTTCACCTCTCATTTCTCTTATTATATATATATACAGAGAGAGAGAGAGAGAAAAGGTGTTCGGCATCGATGCTGCTACATAGGCTGTTTTCTGATAAAACAGCACTGGTTTTGCTTGGTACCAATGCTGTATTACAGTTTTCAGCATTGGTCTACATTATCCAACACCCAAGATGATGCCACATTGTTTTCATGTCATTGCACCACTGGCAGAAATAGGTTATTTTCTAAGAAAACATTGAATTTGATATTTCTTCAAACTATACTTTTCCAATTTCCAAAGTATGGTCTGGAATAACGTTTTTTTTTTCTAGAAAAACGATACCAAATAAGGTCATTTTTCCTTTTTAGTTTTTGAGGCATACGCATATATTCCCACTATTATCTTAGACTGTTTAAGAAAATTACAGTTTTGCCCCAGGGATGGTATGTTTAACGAACTTACTGGAGTGATACCAAAGGCTACATGGAGAAATACCAGTTGTTTCCAATCTTCTGGATCAAATACCAATGACCCTTCCACTTTGCTAAGACCTTTTTTTTTGTTGTTTCTTTTCCTTTGACACAATGTCATTTAGTTCTTTCAAGATTTGTGTCTCCGGTGAAAAGTACACTCAACGTCATGTCTCCAAGGAAAACATCTTTGTCCTTGGCACTGGATTATAGTTTAATATTCTGTCTTTTTTCCAGTAAAATGCTGTACATTGTTATTAAATCACTTCATTATTCACCTTTAAGCATTTCTTCTTCCTTCAAAAAAAGAAAAACTGTTCTGATAAGATGTGGTCTATGGTTTTCCAAACGTCAGCCAGCTTCTTCTCACTTCCAAGCCTCAACCAGCCTAGTAAACCACATATACGCCTTCTGTTCTGGTGTCTATGGCCTCTTCCCAGAGGTACCCATTGGAGCAACCCCAGATCAGACCCACTACTCTGTCTCCTCCTGCCAATAATGCCTCCACCTGGGTTATAACTCCAGTTGCACAGCAAACTATTCAAACCAAGAAGATTGCTATTGAAATTCCTGTCAGGATTGTCACACTGGGCATGCTCTCAGCATTGACATTCTTCCTTTACCTTTATGGACATAGTGGGAAGCACCCAATTGAATTGCAGAAGCTCGTTAGAGGAAACTCCCAATGGTTTCTACGGGAACAAGCAATCCCTTCCTCAGACTTTCTCTACCTTGAACCCATTATTGAACCTTCCAATACGAGAGGAAGCAGGAGACAAAGGCAAAATAGGATTTTTTTCAAAAAATTAAATAGGTCACTTGACGCCATTTTTAACAGTTCTTAATGTTTTATTAATAAAGGGTATTTTTAAGTCCAGTGGGTTCAGCCCATGAGGTATACTTAAGTCCATTCAAAAAACTCATGTTATGTTTAAGTCAACTTATGAAAATACAAGGTATATTTAAGTCTTTACTCTTTAAAAAATTACTTATCTCAATCCTCTAGTGGCTTTACAGAATCCTTTAGGGGTGAATGCCAATAAATGTCCACTTTAAGAAAGTCCAATACTATATTTCTTATAAGAAAATGACCCATGTCTGCAGGTGCACATCCTCTTTACATCAGTCTACAGGAAATTCAGACTCAGTAAAATTAAAGAAAGGCATGTCCGTATCTTTTAAGAAATATGGGATGCACCATTTGGTGTTAAGAAATGTGTAACAAAGCTACACTATTGGACAAGAACAGTTTATCTGATCAGTGGTCCTCAATGTGAGTTTGGGTCAAATAAAACCTCATCCCTGGAAAGAATTTTAGGGGGCATGTTCTTATCTTTTTAATAAATGCAAAAAATTTGTTAACTTTTCTATGAAATACCAAAAGAGTGGGTAAAATCTTACAGCACTTTACACACCTTGATGATAATGATCCTAAAGACTACTCTTTCTTTTTCTGAAGTTTGACATCATCAGGAATCCATGAACTCCAATATAGTGGCACCAGTGTACATGCAACTTGTATCAAAATGCCATGTGGCAGCCCCGAAAAGTCTTTCTCTGAGATGCCAATATATTTCACAAGTGCGACGCCAAGATACCCACTCACAATAAATGCAAATGCAATAGCAGACATGACAAAGGCCATGAGAGATCCCTCGCAACCAGGTGGGCAGAGTTGTGCCATTAGGACACTGAATGGTAACAACTTGAATATGAATAAGACCTCCAATAACCCTGAGAAAATCACTACATACACAGAATCTGGAATACCAAGGTTCCGATAAAATTCCTTCACAAACAATACATCTGATAACATGAACATGGCCATCACAACCTGAACTGCTGAAATTAGTTTTCTTGGTGGGACTGATTTCAATCGTTGATTATAGATTACACTCCATAGAAGCATCGCTGCTTGTCCAAACACCTTAGACAGTCCAAGAACAGATGAATCAAGGCTCAGATACTGAGTTTGGTAGAAGAACATGGTTCCTGTCAAGACTGGGATAACGGCATAAGAAGCTGCAAACCATACAATTGCATAAGCAATCTCTGGCTTATGCAATGCAATTGATAGCATGGACAACTGTTTACGGATGCCAGAACTAGATGGATTCATGGGGAGGTTAAGTGAGCTTTCTCGGACTACCAGTGTTGTGAGGAGCTGGACAGATAGAAGAAGACCAAACACAAGGAACATCATCTGTGGGGAAAACCGATCTATAACAATGCCTCCAAGGAGGTTTCCGAGGACTCCACCAACAGAGGTAGCAATCCAAACAAATGACTGAAGCTCACCAGATGAAGATGGTTGTGACTTTTTGGAAGATGTTGGTTGCTTTCCTGTCTCGGCAACGAGGGCATCATTGGCAACCTCAACAATAGATGCACCAAGGTTGCTAAGGAGGAGAAGGAGACTAACAGTGAAGATAGAGATGCTTGTTGAAGGAAGGACTGCAATGGTTAGCCATGACACTGCCTGCAAGAAAACTGCACCAACAAAGTTAACTAAGTTACAATAACGAAGTTCATAACGACAAAGTTGTTGCTAATTCTGCAAAATATTAAAGGTGGTGTCTCATTTCAAATTTCAATAGATCTCAAACATACATTTGATGGTTAAGAAATTGGGAAAGATAGTCAAAGGGGTTCAGAGAGATTTAGAACATTGACCATTGAGAGAGAGAGAGAGATTTAAGAATGGTCTTATTATAGAGAGTAATGATGGATTTTATTAGAGAATTTTTTTATGAATATTTTATTAGAGAAAATTAAAGCCTGATGGTTTTTTATTGTGACATATTTTTAATAATTCGATTGAAAAATAAATAACCACATGCAAAAAATAAGAGAGGGAGGTCTGTGTGAACATCAAGGTGAGAGTGACAATTGGCCTCCCTCTATCCTCTATGTAGTATAGATATAGATGCCAAAAATACCAATCTTATACATGGAGCTTCACATATACATTTTTCCACTATTATGTAGGGAAGAATTTCATTGCAATATGCTTTGGGTTGTAGGTCTCACCAAGGCCTTTAAGACCTAACCTCATTGCGATGTGCTTTGGCTCAAACTAACTAAAACATTGCCAATTTCTATCCAATGTTTCCAAAGTTTCAGCAAGCCATGGAGAATGGTGCATAGGAATCAGCCACCCTTTCTCCAGTACCACATAGGGCCATAATCTGGTTGGAATATCTGAATTTGATACACTTATTGAAACTTCAAATCCGAATACAATCCAAAATCTGATATATCAGACTCTGTTGTCTTTAAAATAAAGAATAATTAAAAATTAAAATAATAATAACTTATAATAAATTTATATAAATATAAAATATTGGATTTATTAATTATAAACTTTATGTAATTTTGTATAATATCTATATATTTAAGGCCATTTCACAATGTTGGTCCCAACTATATAGGGTCTTGGGAAGGGTATATTGAATAGATTCCTAACCTTAAGCATTTTTTGCACAAAGTAGAGCTCTCACACATAACCTTCATTCTTATGCTGGCCAACTCAAGATTTTACTATTACACCAAGTAATGGTCTTGCATTATTATATTATGTATAATCAGATCAGATGAGATCATATCCACATCTGATCCTATTAGTAAATGGATGCAGGTTCTAAGATCTGAATGCAACATAATTAGATTGGTTTTTGGACTTTCGGAGTTCATTGATACAACATGTTCCACTTCCACATAAACCAAGGTCTCTTTCAATCCTAGACACCACGAAACTAGTACACAAGCCCAGAGCTACAACAGGACAACCAACAATGCCTAGTACACAAGGCCACATATTCCACCCATACTCCTACAATGCCTAGCCACCAGGAAACTAGTACACAAGCCCAGACCTACAACAGGACAATAACAAAAAAGCCCAGCCCTAAGCTGCCAGAGTAGGTTAAGTGTAACTTAAATACTCATCATTCCAATTTAACATACTTCATTGAATAGATTAGTGCATAATGGATAACCCACTGAGAGCCCATGCCCACTACCAACCAATGAAGCATCTATCTCGGCCCAAAATAAATGGGTAAATTTAGAGGTGTAAAACGGATCGTGCTAGGCTGGCACGGCATGACGCACAGGCGGCGGGCGCAAAGTGCGGGCCATGCCGCCCTCCCCTAGGATAATTTGGGGGTCAGCCTGGCATGGCCCATGGCCCAAGCCCATGTCGTGCCATGCCATGCCACAGGCCGGGATGGTTCGTGGGCCAAGCCTTGGGCCAAAGCTATTTATTTAAAAATTTGAAGAAAAAAACAAAATTTTAATTTATATGAATTTTGATGTATACAATTGCTTATATATACAATAATTAAATAAATTAGTATAATAAAATTGAAAACAATTATTTATTTTACTAATAATATTATATACTATATATTGTTATATAATTATAATTTATATAAATATATTATATATTATATATAAATAATATATATGGGTCAGGCCAGGCCGGGCCGTGCCAGCATGCACAGGCTATGCCACCCACTACCTGGCCATGGACCTAAAACCCCATAACCAACACAGCCCATACAATCGTGTCGGGTCGGACCACGGGGGACACAGCCCGATTTACACCTCTAGGTAAATTACACTATTACAATTAGCCACCTTTGTACATGGAGAGGGGGAGGCAATATTTAGCCCCCCAAACTTTGTTTTGCAACAAAACCCCCCCTTGAACTTCTAGATTCTATCACCCACTTACCCGCTAATGGGGTCGATGGTGAAAGTAAAAGTACTAAATTGCCTATTTGAGATTCAATTAGGGTGCGATTGAAGCTGGATTAGGTCAGGTGGAGGTCAACCTTAACTCAACTCAAGCTATGGAACTCCGACCCAAACCCTCACCCTAACCCTTGGGTTGGGTTTGGGTTGAACCAACTTCTCTACTTCCTTTTGCCAAATGTCCCTATGCTGTAGACTCAAGGGTTGAGGTCAATTAAGTTAAAAGCATTATTAATATGTAAAAGAACATACTTATCATGCTTGGTGCCATAGGCGAATAAGGGTGAACATTCTTGGCCTGGCCCGGCCCAGGCTGCAAATTTCTGGGCCCGGGCTCAAGTTTTTGTATGCAGACCCAACACCTAGGACCACATCAAACCTAGGAAATTCTGAACCGAGCTTGGGCCTAAAAGTTTTATTTTAACATATAAATAAATATTTATTTATGAATTGACATTTACAAATATATGTATCAACACTTGAGTCAATTGAGTCAATTCAAGTATAAGAATTGTCCTCCTAGCCTGATGTGGGTGTTGAAAAAACACTCGATGATTGCACTATTTAGTGTCATTCCAATTCCCACGTTATTCAAGAAGAGGAAAGAAGACTTTGCCTTCATCTAGTAAGCTAAGTCAAATCAAGCATAGAAATTAAATGAGGCCATACCTCATTTTTTGTGCATAAACTTAAAACTTAGCCGAGCCCAATTTAATATAATTTTATTTTATTTTATGTTTTTTAAATGTTAAATAATTGATGAAATGTTAAGGTGGGGACAACGTGATGGAATCTAGATGTGAGTGGGGTACTTATGGCAAAACAAAGTTGAGGGGGCTGATGGTCACTACCTCCTAATTACATGGTGCCTATCAACAACTTGCCCAAATAACTTTTTTGACGCCAAAGTTGGGTCATACAGACATGGGCGATACGGATTTTTGTATCAAGGGGACGATTGTGGGTTCCATCACCACGTGTATGATTATACCAACTTGTTGTTTGGGAGCTTCTTTTCATGACACGTGGCCGTTCGGAGCCACGTCTTAATACTAACATAATACCATGCTCCTGAGTCAGATCGGGTCTCTCCTGAGTCCGACTATGATACCGAAAAAGCATGCTACCTAAAAAAATGATCATGAACTCACAAGTAAGTCCCAACAGCTTTTTGAACCAAACCGCGGCGTCGCCACTCGCTGCGTCGGCGACCTCATCGTTTCGGCCTTTCCTCAGTGTCTTCCCTAACACGCGTTGCTTCAGGAAGAAACCAGAAATCGAGGGCAATTCAGCCAATATGTCTTTCCCACCGAAGTGAAAATACAATTTTACCCTCACACGTAAAGCTATTCGAAAATTCCAGTACCAGTAGCAAGTAGCAACCCTATCTCGCTCCATCCCCGGTTCCCCGGATCCTTTAATTTGTTCAACAGGTGAGGACGAAGAGAAATAATAAATAGTAATTTTCTGAGTTCAATTGAAGGCGTTTTTGAATGATCTTACCTCCAATGGCGATGTAAGGGATCCTGTGCTGGCCTCCAATGTAAACGGCGTCGGAGACGATTCCGTATATAGGCTTTCCGATCATCGGAAGGTTTGCCGAGTTCTGCAACAGCTGAAGTGTGGAGGGATCCACTTTGAGACCGTCTTTGAGAAAGAAATTCACGCCCATCCATGGAAAGCATCGGAAACCCTGAACCCAAAACCCGAATCCCAGCAACGGCCGGAGCGTATTCCCCGCGGAGGCCACCATTTTGCTATCAACCAGAAGATCAGCACCGATTTGAGTACGAACGACGAAGCCCCCTCTCTGGACCCTGTCACTCTGAAGTGGAGACTGGGAGACTCAGGTCTTTCTAATTTTTTCAGGGCCTTTCGGGGTTTTGAATCAAAGGCTCACCGAAGGCCGGACATAACACTTTGCTTTGCGGCCCTTTTTTAGGACACTTGGCGTTTAGATCTGATGGAGTGATCAGTTCTCACCTTCTCGCTCTCGGCCACAGCGACAGGTTTATTGGGAAATGCCGGTGACCGGTCCAACCGTGTTCTGACTTCTGAACTTTCCAGAAAGCGACGAACTGACGATAGTTTGGCCTGAAAACTTCTAAAGTTGAGAAACTGATTCGGTGTAACCATCCACATCCTCATACTTTACGATTACGAATGTAGGTTTAGGTTATCTTAAGCCCAATCTAATCCCAATTTAAAGCCTTAATTTTTGGTTTTAATTTAGATTGGTTTCAACGTGGTCCATTGACATTCATATTCTTGGATCAGATATTGATTCAATCGGACCCAATTCAATATAAATTCATTACAAGTGAATCAGGTTCAACGATTCAATAAATACTTTGGACCATTCAGACTGATCTGGTCCAATTCAATATGTCTAATTGGTCGGTTCAATTCATCTTAAATTGATTTTGGATTTTGGTTTGGACGGATCCAACCCAACATGGATTCTGGGGCTTGTGTTAAGTTGGGTTGGTCATTTATCCGGACTCAAGAGAGCCCAAGCCCAACTTAAGTGGTATTCATCAGGATTTGCCAATGTTCCAAGGGGCTATACTCAATATGTTTAAACCATGGCATCATGGTTCCCAACAGACGGTTTAAGACAGTGCTATGAACAAGGATCGATTTTAGTGAATCATTGGTCAGAAAATGTCAAAGTAAACAATAAGAAATAAGATCGAAAGCGAAATTGGCTCCTTTAAGCATACTTTACAATAAATTTGTTTTCAGCTTTTCAGTTAATCTTTTGTCTTTTTTATTGTATTTTTAATCAGCGCTGGACATGCCCACCAAAAATAGAGAATATAAAAGGGCTTCTTCTTTTAATTAACTCGAATCAAACTGTGGGTGGAAATTAGATCTGAATAAGTTTATACTTTATTTCATATCTATGCCTCAGAAGAAAAAGAAATATTGGCTTCTTTCAACCTGAAGAAAACATAACTGTGGGCTTGGGCTTTGTTTTCATTTTAAAAATCCATCCAGTGGTTGGGGTTGCAAAACCATTGAAAATTGTATTTCAAACAAGTTGGGTTTAGATTTAGGGCTTTTAGTTAAATTTAGGGTCTGCTTGTTTGTTGGATTTTGAGAGGGGGGAGAGTTTGTTAATGGGATTTTAGTTCCTATTGACTAAGATATCTATATTTTTTTTTTTAGATTTAAGTAGGGTTTACGGAAAATTTATTTTTCTTTGGGTATATCTCCTTGGTGGATAAGTAACTTTCTCACTTGAGAGAAAAGTTGTCAATGCATGGATGGGACAAAATTACCCCTTTTAATAATGGCTTTTATGGTTAAACAATCATTATCTTATTTACCTGGGAAATAAAAAAACATGGATAAGTAACTTTTCGAAAAGCGAATGGGACCTTAGAATAAATTTATCTATTAACCTACTCACCCCTTGAAATCTAGGTTGAGTTACTTATTTTACCCTTTCATTGATTTGTCATCAGTTTTAGCAATAGAAATGTTTACACATGATATTTAAAATTTTTCAAAAGTTCATTCTACCCTGTTTATGACACCTTGTTATTTTGGTTTCTTAATTAATTTAGGAAATTAAATCATGTTTAATTTGTAATTAATAACCTATTTTATTTGAATGAATGGATACCTACTATAGAGGGGGCATTCGCCTTTTCATAATTTGAGAGGGGGGAAAGTTGGTTAATGGGATTCACAATTCCATTGACCAAGAAACCTATGTTATTTTTTCAGATTGATGTGAAAATTAGGAAAAACTTATTTTCTTGGGTATCACTTACCTCCCAAGTGGATAAATAACTTTCCCACCTGGGAGAATTAAAGTTGTCAAAATTTAGATGGAACAAAAATGTCCTTTTTAATAATAGATTTTTATGGATAAAATAGTCATTAATTTATTTACCTAATAAATAAAAGAGCACTTGTAAATACACTTACTACACGGGTAAGTACCTTACTAAAAAGCAAATGGAGAATTATCACCTTCAACCAATGATATGAGGCTCGTTTTAGCGAACGCGTCCAGTCTAAATGAAAAACAAAAATCCATATTGAAACTCAGCTTCTTTCTCTACTGTTCTGTGTTTTCTAATCAAGAACATTTGTTGCTGAGCTAAAATAGTTTAACAAAATTTCTTTAATACAGTTTTTCATTTTTTGGGGGGCCTATGGATTAAGGCAAATAAATGGATCAATGTCTACTTGGAGGCAATTCTTGATATCAGAGCAACACCAATAGAGGAGCAGAAGCCATCCTTTATGAACCTACGTGAGAGGGGGCACTTCATCTACACCAAGTACTTTGTGGAAGAAGTGGTTGCAGGTGTTGATGAGATCCACCTCCATCAAACCTGGATCAAGGTCGTCACCACAATGCATGGGAACACAGCTCAAGGCTTGAGAACATGTGTTGGTGCATTTAGCATCTCACTGAAAGATGATCTAAGGCCATGTTCGGGAGTGCTTATGTTAAAAATAAGTGCTTCTTCGAATAAGCACTTATTTGTATTTGATACCCAACTTTTTCAAATTTTTATTTTAAAAAATAAGTACTTATTTCATATTAGGTGTTTGGTAGTCTTTTTCTCCATTAAGTATTTGTGACTATTGTGTCCTTCATTTTCTTTCAAATTTTAAGAAAACACTTTTATGTAAGTACTTCTGCGAAAACACTTTTATAAAAGCACTTTTACAAAAGTACTTAAAAAAGAACTTTTACAAAAGTGCTTAAGAAAGCACTTTTACGAAAGTACTTTTATGAAAGCATTTAAATAAAAGCACTTTTACAAAAGTATTTTGTAAAATAACTTTTATAGTACTTTTATAAAAGAAATTTTATAGAAGTACTTTTATAAAAGTGATTTTATAGAAGTACTTTTCTAGAAGCACTTTTACATAAGTACTTTTATAAAATTCAACTAGGGATACATTTATAAGTGGTAGTTTAAAATTCAATTAGGGATAATTTCGAAAGAAAACAAAAAATTGAATAAGTGCTTATTATATAAGCACTTAAAAAAAGCTGGAAATTTGGGCTTCAAAAATAAACCCTTATTATTAAACTAAGCACTTATTTTAGGCTTATTTTCCAAACACCAATAAGTGGTTAATGGTGTGGTCCCGACCCAAATAAACACTTATTTCAAATAAACCCTTATTTTTAAGCACTCCCAAACATGGCCTAAATCAATTAGTGAGGGGTCATATTGAAATTTTGAACAAAATTAATCCAAACATGAAGTCACATGTAATTGGATCTTAATAGATTTCTAATAGAAGGGATGTCTTTGTTCGATGACATCAGCAGATAAGAGAGGTCTTAATCCATTTCAAAAAGTGAGGGGGTGGTCTTAGTATTTAGCATAAATTTTTAAGGAGGTTTAAGTCTTTTCCCTTTATTTAGCATAGGTGTCACTTTGGACAATCAAGATCAATCAATTTTATTACATATAGAATGTATTGTATGGTAAATGTATATATCTCTTCAATAATTAATGTATATTGTAACCTATTCATAGTGCTTTTTAGGCCTTGTTCGCATCTCGGTAAATCATTTATCTAGGTAAATGCACTTATTCTAGCAAATGTTTCCTAGGAGACATTTACTTGGATAAGTGCACTTAATAGTATTATTTTATTCCTCAGGGATAAAATAATGGTAAAATTGTACAATGACAATGTGATCCAAAAAAGTGACATTATTGAAGGGATAATATTGTCCCATCACATATTAATACTTTTCCATGTAGATGAATAAGTGATTTACCCAAGTTTCGAGAAAGTACTATTTTCCTAAGTAAATGAAATGTTCGAGAATCATCATTTTGTTCTTTAGGGCCCACTAATGCCAAAATATGAAAGCATGTTTATTTATTTTCCATAGAACCCCCCAATTTACTCATCCCCACTTACCAGAAAACAAACAAGGCCTTTAAAGTGAAACTTTCTTTAATGCATTGTAGGAATTGATCTAATCCCCACTCATAAGAAAACCAACTCGTGGAGAGAGGAGACTGGATTTTAGCAAACACTGGTTTCCTTCGAGAATTCTGCAATGGATTTTGGAATTAGTTAGGTAAGTATTACATGTTCAGAGATTTGAGGATTCCATGTACAACAGTTGAGCAATTCCTAAGAAGAAGTTTGACAGATTCCCCTATGAATGGTGAATAAAATAAATCTAAGTCCATGCAGTCTATAGAATCCCCCCTTCTTAGGGTGATTAAAGAATAACCATAAGATGATCCCTTTTTAGGGATACTGAGTTTCGAAGAAAAAGTAATGGAGATTGATGAAGGGAAATTTGGCCCGACCTCGCAATCGCTCGACACGTGGCAAAGGCAAGCAACTCGGGACAGTAGAGTGCCCGAAGCGAACATCGGAAGCAAGTCCAAGCTCACTACCGAGCCCGAACTCCAAACCGCTCTACTGAGTCTGAGCTCCCTACCAAGAGTC